TCAAAAACATTATAGTAGGTACAAGAAGCCAAACACAAAAGGCTATATATTGTATAATTCCATTTGCATGAAATTCTACAAAAGCTATAGGTCAATGGTTGTCAGGGAGTTTGCTAGGAAGAGGCTAACTACAAAGGGGCACAAAGAAACCTTTTTTAAGGTGATGGAAATCTATATCCTGGCTATGCTGTTCATTACATGACTGTATCCATTTGCCAAAACTCATGAAATTATACACTTAAAATTGAGTTTTATTCTGTGTAAATTGTATCTCAATAAAATTCACTATAAAAAGTGATGAATTCACAGTTTTTATCTCATCAACACAAAAATGAACTTTAATTCCAGCATTTTAAAATTTTAAATCTAAGCATTTCCTACATAATACAAAATCAACATTAAGACCTGAGGCAAGTTACCACAGTAAATATACAGCAGAGATTGTTTTCATCTCTTACTAATTAGTGATAAAACTCAATTAAATAAAAACTAAGGTTTGTCCAAACCTACCCAAATCTATTAAAGAAAGAAGCAAATTACAAGTACACTCATTTAGACAAGCCATAACAAGTTTAGATATAAGAAGTGTTTTCTCAATGTGTTTCATTATGCAGTGTAGTAGTGAGTTTTTAATATTAGGTAAAAAGTTTTTATCAAATTATGACTTTCTAAAAAGATATACTTCTTGTTTATAACAATTATACAGTTTTTAGCAACAAAGTTCATAGTCAATTATTTACAAATACTGAAGAAAGAAGTAAGGCAAGAATGAAAATTCTGGCGAGCACTCTGCTTTCAGATGCTTTGACAATACTATTGCACTGCTAGCTGTCAAGTACAGTAGTGCAATAAAGTCAGAGCATTCGTAAGCAGTAATAAGTAGGAAAGGAACATAAACGAATCTTGCATCAGTTGAAGCTTCAGTGTGAAAAGAATTTGAAGTTGGATTGCCACTTTGGTCAGAAGACATCAAAACATAAAGACATTTATATCAATGTGATATTGGTTTTTGATGACTAATCAACCATTAACATTCGAATAGAAACATGCAGAGATGTAAAGGAATTTTTAAAATATCTTGAGTCTTGGTAGTAATTAACAAGTGTATTAGTAATACCTCAAAATTGGTATTAATAAAACCAATTAGAAGTACTAAGTCACAGTTGTGATAGTTTCCTCGTCTCTGATGAGATAGTTTGTTGGTTAGCTCCTTTTCCAAAGCAAAATGACTGATTGATTACCTGCCATATAAAACAAGCCCTTTGAATAAGAATGTTAAAGAAAATAAATGAAAAATAATAAATGTGTAAAATCTCTTATATACCCAATCTATTACTCTGGATTCTAAACTATAACACAAAACACACACACACACAAAGCATTTTGTAAGGCATGACAGTGCGTGCCTGTAATTCCAGTGACTCCGGACGCTGAGACAGGAAGATCACAAGTTTGAGGCCAGCCTCAGGGAAACCCTATCTCAAAAATAAAAAGGACTAGGGATGTACTCAGTGTTCTAAAGTGCCCCTGGGTTCAATCCTCAGTACCAAAAATAAAAGTACTTATCATTATAGCTTTTTATTTCAAGAGTTTACTGAGGACTATGATAACAAAGAAAGACACTGCCAAATAATCAATGTGAGCTAAACATGACAATATTATCCCAACCTAATTGAATTTTATGGAAAGAGGTTTTAAATATAAACCTTAAATATAAAAGGAAAGCAAATTAATTTCTTGTTAATTTTAAAATATCAAAATGAAAATAATGGAGAAAGAGGCCTGAGATGTAAACAATAAATTTCCTTAAAAAACAAATGTAAACTTAGAAATCATAGAGTTGGGCATGGTTGCACATGCCTAATCCCTGCTACTCAGGAAGATAAGGCAGAAGGATGCAAATTTCAGGCCAGCCTGGACAATTTGGCAACATCCTGTCCCAAAAAATAACAAGGCAGGTAGATGTCACTTCTTAGTGGTAGAGAGGACCTAGCTTCAATCCCTAGGGACTGGGGGGGGGGGGGGGGGGGGGGGGGGGTTGTGAGGATTAGTAAGCATATCATAGTATCACATTACACTTTTGTGTACAATCACTAGTAGAACCACAAAAGGAGGGCCTTCCACAAATATCATTCAATCAATAAGTAAAGGGAAAATAGTTAGAGAACACATATTACTTTACAATGAGGTTATTCCTCCTTTAGTAATGTTGACTGATGCAAAAATACTTTCCTCTTATTTTCACCAACCTTCCTTTAAATGGTCCAGTTCAGCTACTTAGGTGGCTCAAGCCCACCAAGAAATGGGACTCAAATTTGGGACAGCTGGAACATAAAGAGTCTTGGCCTCAAATCCTGGGCCACAAAATTCAAATGTGAGAATATTTAACTCTTGTCAATCAAGTGTCATGTTTTAAAGACAAGTGTTTATAAAGACAAGTGTTTAGTATTCTGAACTGTAAGTTAATACAAGAAAATAGAAAAAAATATTAAATTAAGAGGATCAGGCTATCTGTTTACAAAACTAAGATAACTTTTTCAAAGTTAAATACAATGCATTCTCTTTTCACCTACTAAATATTCCATACTGGTCCCCTGGCAATCCTTTATTTAAGTAATGTAAGACCAACAAACAAAAACCCATAAGATTGTACCAGAAATCATTTACCTTTAGAATCTTAGAAACTACACTGATTCTGGTTCTTAGATAAAACATTTTTTAAAGGAATATGGCAAATCCGAAGATGAGATGCACCATCCTTTACTATCGAGTCAATACAAAATAGGAATATTAAAAATAATAATAAAAATTCCAATTCATTCTTAAACTCTAATAATTTTTTTTAAATATTTATTTTTTAGTTGTAGTTGGACACAATACCTTTATTTGTTTTTATGTGATGCTGAGGATTGAACCCAGGGCCTCGCGGTTGCTAGGCAAGCGCACTACCACTGAGCCACAACGCCAGCCCGTAAACCCTAATAATTAGGAAAACAAACCAATAACTTGAAAAAAAGCTACCACTAATTTACTTTTAAGAAATTTAAGGGGGGAGGGAACTCTGCTTTATAGTCTTCCTCTCATCAAAAGGAAGTTTAAAAGCTATCTCATAATTAAACATCTAAAAGTTTAAAAGTTGGCTGCCTCGTAACTTTCTAAAACCTCCATTTTTCAAAATGTTTACTTGCTTTTCCCTTAAAATAGAATTTGTTCATTCTAACAAAAAAAAAAAAGAAGAAGAAGAAGTTTTTTAAGAATATTGATGCTATTGCAAAAGCTAGAAAAAAGTATAAAAATTAAACAGCCAACAGGCTGTGTGGGCATATATTAAAAAACAATTAGCATCAGGCAGCATATAACAACTAAGCAGAAATATCTGTATCTGCAGAGAGGAATTTAAAATGGGGGAGTGGGAAAAGACAGTCTTAATTTTTATGCCTGTTGATAGAAGTAAACTCCTATCCTTGACATTTCGTGTATTTAAAAAAAAAAAGTAAAAATAAAAAATAAAAACAAAACGAACAAATATTCATTATTGCAGGTTTGGAAAATTGCAGAAAGAAAATTCGTCTTCCCTCCCATGTCTCCCTCCATTCTGTTTCCATACCCACACTCCCTCCACAAAGAAAATTTGGACACAAATGTTAAAGTAATTGAAAGCCTTGCAATTAAATGTAAATAAAACCGGTGCTTCAATTCCTTAACAAATCAAATGAAAATAATAAGATAAATCAAGGCCTAACATTTTTCTGGGGTGGGAATGGGGCGGGGGTAGTACACACTATCATCCAGGATCACCACAGATCCTTACCAAAGCAGAAGTTAAAGAACCAATATTCATCTTGGAAAGAGCAGTGTGGGCACACAGATATACCTAAGCAATAACGCCAGGGAATGGAGGGGAGGAGGAGAAACAGATTGAAGCCGGAGAAGAAAGAAGTTTTTTTGTACTTTTTAAAATTTGATCTTGTTATTTTCTTTAAAAAACAACAGGAACTCAAAGATGGGTACTTCCTCAAAGTTCCATATTTTTAAAGGAACCAACCCAATCTGAAAATACCGATAATGCAAGAAGAAAATAAAGAGTGAAGGCAGAACAAGGGAGCCAAGAAAAAAGCGCGGGCTATCAAGCTGGTAGACTAAGGACGGGAGGGAGGGAATTAAGGGGACAAGAGAGGGTAAGGGCTAACCCCATAAAGAAAACAAGGATAGCCCTTCAGCTTGGCACCCTCCAGCAGGCCACACACAACAGCAACAAGGGGAGTGCTTTCTAGTTCTTCGCCCCCGCCCTCTACTTTCACAGATGAATGAAAATGGGCAACTCTTGAGCAAGGTGCCCTCCCATTTCCAATATCCCCGGCTCTCGAGGAAACGAGCCTATAGTTCAGATCCCCATAGCTCCGACGGCTCGCTCACCCAAAGCTTGCATCCTCCGGGCCAAACACATAGCAGTCTAGGGGACTCCCTTGGCCGCTAGGAAGTTGTAGCGCACGTTTAGCATCCTTTCTTAGCCCGCCTTCGAAAACATGAATGGTTCGTTTCTCCCCGCGCCCCCTTCCGCGGCTTACTTCCCACCCCACATCCCCCTTTTTTCTAGGGGTGTGAACGACCTCCTCCCGTCTTGGGGCGTTGATAGACCCTTCCAGTCGTGTGTGTGTGTGTGTGTGTGTGTGTGTGTGTGTAAATACATAAAACGCTGTTTCCATCAGGTACAGCTCCTTCAGGGATAGAAAAGTGAAGGCAAGAAACAAGAAATTCCAAAGGCCCCACACCCTCAGCATCTCCCGCCATTTCCCTCACGAATTTCCCGGATGTACCCCTTCGCCCGCGGCGGTTAGGAGACCAGGCGGTGGCGGCTCCCTTTGGTGCAGGAGGAGGGAACTCCAATTTGGTCCAGCCTCCGCTGCCCAGAGTTTCCCGCAACTCCACATTGCTCCCCACCTTCGAGGCCACTGGGGAAAAATTAATTACCCAGTAGGTGTCCTTCACTTTGCACTCACCATCAGTTCGAGCTTATCGACCTCCGCCTCCATGTTGAATAGTTGACATTCCTCAGACCGCGGCGGCGCTTAAGCTGCAAGCCGTACTAGCACTGAGGGTCTCTATTGGACAGCTGTCACTCAATGTTTCGCACTCATTGGCTCCTCTGTTTTACCGGCGCCCGCCCATTGGCAACTGGGTGCCGCCCCTCCATATGAAACACATTTTCCTGTTGGGTAAAGACACAAAACGCCGCAGGAGGATTGGCTGCAGCATATATATTTTTTTCCATTGGCTACCCTATCTCTCTACTTTCAATTTCATAGTTAGGGCTCAGCAGAGAAGAGCTTTCGATTGGTGAAATCACAAGAAGAACCAACCAATTACACAGAAGCTTCCACCGACAGCATAGGGGACGCGACACACCCTCTTTCCTCTCCCGCCTTCTCCTTATTCATACTAAAAGCGCCTCATGCCCGATTGGTCGGAGAGTAATTCTATCTCAGCCAATCATAAGCCAGGCTGTGTTCCTACGCTACCTGGAAAGCCAATCGTGGGGAAGCCACGTCTACGATTGGTCCCTCCGTGACGAGGATTTAATTTTGAATTTTTCTTTATGGCGTGGAAGAAGCCTCTGCCCGGACTCCATCTAATCCCCAGGCTCTTAGACTAGTAAGTGCAGGGACAATTCTTTCTGTGTTACCTGGGCTCGGATCTTCCGTGATTGGACCTGTTGCTGCTTGTGTTTTTATGGGTAAAGGAGGAGGGGACTGGCTGGAGTAGGAAGGGAGAAGCAGAAAAAGGGAGATTTGCGGCTTGGGAAGAGGTTCTCGGCTTGGCTCCATCCGAGCGGTACTTCTATTAACACTCTGAAAAATATGTTTTGGAATGAAGCATCTGACTTCCTTTTGCTCGTTCCTTTATGTCTTTGCTACTCAAAACGGGTTCACGGACCAGCGAAATTGACATGATTTGGCCCCTTATTAGAAACGCAAAGGGCTCCACCCATACTTTCTGAGTTAGAATATGAATTGCAATAAGATCCACGATCACTCCCGTGATTCCTATATACATTAAAGTTTGAGAAGGTATATTTCTTGGCTAAGAGTATTCCAATGGTCCTTGACACACTCTTATTTTTTATTTTGGCGGGGCGAGGGGGTACCAGGGATTGAACTCAGGGGCACTCGACCACTGAACCACATCCCCAGCCCTATTTTGTATTTTATTAGAGACATGGTCTCACTGAATTGCTTAGCGCTGGCTTTGAACTCGCGATTCTCCTACCTCCCCGACCCTAGCGGCTGAGGTTACAGGAATAAGACACTGCGCCGGGCCCCTTGATACACTCTTAATGCTATCGAACATTCTGTGTCAATTTTAAGTGTGCGCTTATTGCTATATGCCAAATACCGTGCTGAAGGAGACTTTAGAGTCCTGCGATCCCTCTCGAGAAACCAGACAGAAATTTAAAAAGCAATGCTACATAACATAAAACGTAAAATCAATATCAGTAAGTGTCAAAAATAGTGCTGTGGTTTTCAAGATGAACTAATCGAACTGGTAATAGAAACTAAATCGTCTGAAGACCATTAATGAGGGATAAGAGGCCTCCATAAAAATAAGAACATGGTAATGAAATGTAACTGTGATTTCCGTTGCTGCCACAACCTTGGACATGCTTCATGACCAAAGAACTTTTCATATCACCTGATGGAATTTTAACAGGAGCAGCATTGCCTGCCAACAGCTAGAGAAGATTGTAAAGGTGTATATAAAGTCTTATAGGGCTGGGGTTGTGGCTCAGCAGTAGAGAGCTTGCCTAGCATACGCAAGGTGCTGGGCTCAATCTTCATCACCACATACAAATAAATAAATTAAATAAAGGTATCGTGTCCAACTACAACTAAAAAAAATTTAAAGATAATAATACAGTGCTATAAAAGCACAAAAGCAATAACATTTCAACCACTATAAATTTATAAGAACAGAAACTATTTTGGTCTTACACATGATTGTATGACAGCACCTAGCAGAATATCTGATGGATTTTGTTTTAATTTTTAATTGTTTGGTAATGGAGATTTAATTTAGGTGTGCTTTACCATTGAGTCACATCCTCAGTCCTTTTTATTTATTTAATTTTTTTTAGAAACAGGTTCTCACTAAGTTGCTTAGGGCTTTGCAAAGTTGCTGAGGCTGGGTTTGAACTGGTAATCTTCCTGCCTCAACCTCCTGAGTTGCTAAGATTATAGGTATGTGCCACCGTGCCTGGCTACCTGATGAATTTTCAACACTCAACTAATGTCTATAAGATAAAAGTAACAAAAGTTTTGAAAATTAGGTTTAAGATGACTTAGAAAAGAATACCCCAAACAAGGGGAAAGACTGGTTATATTATAGACAGTATTTGGTATTTAATAAACCTAAGTACAAACTAGTTGTCACTAGAAGAAATGAGGCTGCAGAGCACTAAGTTGTGAACAGCTTTGAAAGATGTGCTAAGGAATTTATATATATAATGTTGGCACAAAAGGACCGAGCCAGTCACAAACTTTACAGATCAGCAAAAGCCTTTATTCGGTAATGGAGTCACACCTCTAATGGGCCTACTTTCCTGGTGGAAAATGAGCCACTGGCCAAAGAGGGAGTCCATACTTACATAGGTCACACTGAGAATTGACTTAACTCAGGAATTTAGGGTCTGTTTTACTGGGCGAAATGGCGGGGGCAGTTCTGGGGGCAGTGGTCAGTATTCTGGATTTGTCTTTACTGGGCCAGATGGAGGGTCTGGGGTCAGTGGTCAGCATCTGGAAATGGATTTGTTTGGGGAAGGATCAATGTTTTTGACCTCTTCCCACAGACTGTCCTTCCAGATTTGATAGATATCTCCTCCCCAAGGCCTGTCTTGTTACTGGGAAAGAATGTATTGGGAAAGGATCAATGTATTGCCTTCTTTTTCACTCCCTCTCCCCAGGCCACACTATTTGGGGTTTGTCATTTTCTATATCCATCATATATAATTTATATATAATATATTAATATATATATGACATTATATGTGTGTGTGTGTATATATATATATATATGTATACACACACACACATTATGTGTGTATGTTACTAAGGATCAAACCTATGACCTTCCACATGCTAAGCAAGCACCCTACTACTGAGTAATACCCCCAGTCCCTAGAATTGTTAAAGAAAGAAAACTTAAAGTTATACTTGTTATAAAACACACTGAGGAAGACTTTTTTCAGGACCATTGCAATAGGTATAGGGACCACTGCAGTGGGATTCCCCCCACTGGGTGGGATTTTGAGTGAGGAGAGAGAGATTGGGCTCAACTCCAAATATAATATAGGCAAATATAATTTATGGGCAAAGAACAAAGTCAATGGATGGAAAATTACTAAGAGGTAAGGGGGATTCTGCCTAAACAGATTAAGTAAGATTCATGCTAGACAGACCAGGGTGATCAGAGAAACCTAAGTAATGGAGGAAGATGAGGAACCTTATAATGTTTTGTTGTTTTGGGGGGGTGAGGGTGGTAGTTCTTGCTAAACTGATTTGGCAGAGTTTTTTGCTAAAAGCTAAAACCAAATTTTGTAAGTACAAAGACGGGTTTAGAAGAAGCTTCAGGAGCCTGATCAAGCACAGAATCTTTGTCAAAATCAATCCACCAAGTATAGCTAGAAAGTCCAGTTCCTTTCTAAAGTCTGTTTTCAGGACTGGGATGTAGCATGGGCAAGACTCTGGGTTTGATTCCCCAGCACCACCACCAGGGGAAGAAAAATTTTAAGTCTATTTTCATAATTTAAGTATTGGTAATATAGGAAAAAAGGACAAGAGGCTGGTTCTATCCTTTTTGATCCCTAACAAAACATAAAGGTAAAGCAATGGGGAAGGGCTATGGAGAGGCAGATAGAATCCAAGGAAATGAAAGGTGCCATGGAAATCTCAGATTCTGGGGATCCCAACAGTGGACTGTGATAGTTTCCCATGAAATTTCTCCATAAATGGCACTGCACATGGATTTGATGAGATTTAACCGTTTTTTCTCCCCCAAACACAAAATTACTACTTTCTGGGAGGATCTCCTAAGTATCTTCTTCATTCAAAATATCTTTGTATACCTGGGATATGGTTCAGTGGTAGACCTCTTGCCTAGCATGCTCAAAGCTGTGGATTCAATCCCCAGCCCGGATCTGTGCTTTATTTTGAATTTAAAAAAAAATCCCTTTTATTTATTAATCGCTGCTAAGTCTTCTTTTATTATTTCAACAGGGAAAAAAAGTGATATAATAGGGCTGGGAATATAGCTTAGTTGGTAGAGTGTTTGACTCGCATGCACAAGGTCCTGGGTTCAATCCCCAGCAACACAAAAATAAAAAATAAAAAGGTGAAGTCACCAGTCATGGTGACACATGCCAGTAATCCCAGCAACTTGGGAGCCTGAGGCAGCAGGATCTGAAATTCAAGACCAACCTCAAAAACTTAAGGAGACCCTGTCTCAAAATAAAAATTTTTTCAAAGGGCTGGAGAGCTGGGCACAGTGGCCCACACCTATAATCCCAGCAGCTCAGGAGGCAAAGCCAGCCTCAGCAATAGCAACTCAGTGAGACCCTGTCTCTAAATAAAATACAAAATAGGGCTGGGGATGTGACTCAGTGGTTGAGTGCCCCTGAGTTCAATCCCCAGTACCCACCTCCATCACAAAAAAAAGAATGAAAAGGGCTAGAGATGTAGCTCTCAGTGGTAGAGCACCCCACGTTCAAGCCTACTACTGCAAAAATATGTAAATAAATAAATAAGAAGCCAGCCAACTATGTTTTGTTTTGTTTTGTTTTTCCCCTCAAGCCTCTAAGAACAATTAAGAAAAGCATTCTGTTAATTTGGAGCCTGACAATTAATCCAGCCACTTCTAGAGAGCTGTTGATACATCACTCTTTGTCATTAGGGATAGCCTCTGTAAGTCCAAAGCTGTTGCAACCAAAGCACATCTTGGTTTTTATAATCCACAGCAGGGTGGGAGGAGGTTCTTTAGCCAGTGGAATCTGAGAGCTGAGCAAGTGTAGAGCTGCAT